AAAAGTTCCAGAAGTTGTTTGTATGCAGACATTGCAAATTGCCTTCTTGGTTGAAAAAGTTGAGACGAGCCTCTCAGAATGAATATAAAAATTTTTGTGCATGCAAATAAATCACGCTCATAAGAGTGAATTAATGTGTGTGCATGTTTTGATGCTGGCACACACTTAAGCTGGCTGCATAAAGGTAAAGGATGAGGCAGGACTTGCCCTCATTCCTGGCCAGCATGGCTATAGATTATCGCTCTTTCAGCCTTCACCTGGGCCCTCAATATTGAACATAAGCACAGGAAGGGGATGGGAGAGAGGGAGAATCCCAAATACCCAGAGGATGGTGCTTAGAGCAGAAATGCTCCACACACAGAAAATTCTAAACCTGCCACTGGCAAATAAAGCAGTATGGATTTACACAGCACTGAGAACCTGATATTCAAGCATGCCAGTTCTCCCCCAGCTTAAGAAAAAGAAAACCCTTAGCATTTTGTGCTGACAAAGACATCAATTTGACTTCCTGAAATCAATGAAGCCATACAACGTGCTCAAAAGCGAGGTTTAAAAAACTCTAGTGGTGAAATTATTGATTTTTGTTACAATCAGCAATTTCCGATCAGCCAACAGAGACAAAATGTTAATTTGTCATATCTTTTCAGCAAATTAAAATGAATTTATGTAACGTAGGAGCATGCCTTCTCCCGAGAGCTGAATTGATGTACGTGTCTATAATACTTCAGAAAATAAGTCCTGCATTTTAATTAAAATTCAATTAATCTTCTTCCTTCTACACAGAAAAGGTCTATGTCTGCAGGCTGTGGTGAAAAATGATGCCTTTCATTTCGATAAAAGGCTAATCTCATTACACACTGGCGTTATCATACCATGTAACAAAAGAGCTAATTGTAATTGTCATGCATTATTACGCTGAATGCTCATCAGGCCAAAGATTTAAACATACAGTTTGACAATCAGTCAATCAATCAACTCATTAAATAATCTAAGGTTATTACTGTATGCATCTACCATAAAGGATCTGCTATATATCCTAGTACTATGCATGAACATTTTAATAACAAACCTAAAACAGCATTTGGAATCAAACATAGGCAAAGAAAGAAAAAAAAAGATCTCATCTAACCCATCATTAAAACTAAGATGTAAAATCTACTTTGGGACTTTATTAGAGCATCTAATTCTCCAGCAAGAAGCTGCAGCATGCACATAGCATCATTAATACTGCATCACTAACTATTTGAGACTCTTCTGACCAGATGGTGTAAACTGCTTTGGCTCCATGTACGGTTTCCTTCTGCAAATAAAAGTCATTTTAGCTCAGTATGAGCAAGATTGCCTTCTCTACATTAAATGCACAATCCACACGTGCAAAAACAGTGCTGGTGTTATGATAGGAATAGACTCATTGGCTAACAACATACAGTTACAACAGAAGAGCCTTTTTAAGTCCACTGATAGTTTGGGATTGATAGGAATATTGCATGTAGGTTAAATGACACATGATTTGGGCACATACAGCAAGAAAAAGTCTTGTTCGATTGACCTCACTGTGGACACCTACAAACATGTCACCTTTCAGCTAATGCACAAGGGTCTGATTCTACTAGGAATGCAGCTCATAATAGGCACATATGAGAGGTTAAACCTTGAGGTGTTCAGATTGAGAAGAAAAGCAAAGATCTACACATATGTAATGAAAATGGCTTTAATACCTTTTCTTGTCCCGATGAAGTGAACATAGATAGTTCTACAAAGCTCTTAATCCTGCCATTGAGAGCAGTAGGATTATTCACAGAGCAGATACAGCAAAAAAACAACCTGAAAACCCACAGACCTCTCTAAGTTGACCGCACCATTGCACAAAAAATTCTTATTAGACTTCTTGCTGGCACCTAACATACAAAGATTATACCTGGGAAATCAAATAAAGTCTGAACAAAAATAAATGTCTAAATGAAGAAATACTTTTAACAATTAACATTTGTTGGAGACTTGGTTTGGGAAGTTAGTGTCTCTTTAGGTTGTACAGGTAACACCGGTTTGCCAACCAGTCCGGCCTGTGCTCTATTTACTAAACGTCTAACAAACAGGCAAAAGTCCACAAATTAAATAAATTAAGTCAATTAAATAAATTAATTAATTACGTCAATTAAATCAATGCCAAATACAGGTTGGCAAAATCTATTAAAAACAGCAAACTGTGGTTAAGGGAAGTAAAATAGCTGTAACACACAGCCTCTAGTGGTTTACTGCTTTTATAAAATGCAAAGTAGAGCAACAAGAAAATGCTCAGTAAATAAATGCTTTTATTATTATTCACAATAAACAATTCCTCCGCCAAGTAATTCAGCTTATTAGCCTAAAAATAGACTGTTCATGGTTGCATGCAAGGTAGCATCTTGGTGCACAAACAACTGATTTTATCTATTTTACCAATCAGAGTTGGAACTACTCATTTTATAAAACATATTTTGGTCACCTCTATGTGCACAGAGGCAATAAACATACCATGAGGTCACTGAGGGGAAAAAAAATATGCCTACCATGTTCTCCACAGATTGGTGTGGTTCCATTACAGCAGCAACTGTTAACATGAAATTGTCGCATCTATTGTGTGGTAATGGTAACATTATTGATTATTGTCATTGCCTTCTTCCACTCAGACCACCAGACAATGTCAAAACTGATCCCTATCCCAGCTGCACCTAATCCCATGGTTTTTAGCAGTGCCTTCAGGCTACAGAAAAAGCTGGACACAATCCCACTCAATAAGGACAGAAACATGAGATCAACTTTATCTTCAACAGACCATGGTCACCCACATTCAGTCATAAAAAAATCATTTTACTAAAGGTCATTGTTGAAACCTCCTCCTTTCTACAATGACCTTTAGTAACAAAAGAACAACATCTGGTGAACAAGCTGTTGATTTACAAGAGGGTTACAATCCATGTATTTCTCTCTTTTGGCTCCTATTGTTCAATACTCTACATTTTATTCAATGGGAACCAAAAGAAATCCAAGAGGATTTGGTCATTTGGTAAATGAGTTTAATTGTAAGAGGAATAGGTAACCCCAAAATAAAAATTACATCATCATTTAATCATGCTCATGTTGTTGTACAGCTTTATTCAAGTTCTTATTTCTGTGCAATTCAAAATGAAAAAACGTGAAGAATTTTCACTCTGCTCTCCTCCATACAATTTAAGTGGATGGGGACCAGGGGATTTTAAATCTCACATTTAAAAAAATATGTTATGTTATGTTATAAAAGTAGAAAAAAGTTAGGAAAAAAGTTTCAACTTTCTTTGCTTGGACATTGACTATGTTCCACCAAAGAAATAAACAGGTCTCGAAAAAATGAAGGTGAGAAAATGACAGTTTTCATTTTTGGATTAATTAATACTTTCAAAGCTTAAAAGAGAAACAGTGTGAGCAAATATATCAATTAAATAACTGCTTGAAATATTAAATTTCTCAATACCTGCTGTCATGAGAGCAAGGTGTGAAACCGTAAAATTAAAAATGTCCTTGGATCATAAAAAGTGTTTTCTGTGGCATATGTAAATGACTAGGCTTTTAAATCAAACTACAAAGACAGACAATGCCGGTTAGGTCCCTGTGACACGATGACAGCAAAACAGCTGCTGGGTCTCATGGCTCGTTCCATGGTAAAGTGTAAAATTCTCTTTGATATGGTGACATTAAAATAAAGATTAATTATGAATTAGTGTGACTTCCTATAACAGCATCGCAGGTTAGTAATCAGCATTTCAACTGTCCACACCAGCTTATCCTCTTCTCTTCATAACACTGAACTGAAGTAAAGTTTTATGATTCCTGCAGAGTTGAATACCACAGCGGCCCATATCATGAATTAATGAAGACTGTTAATTTGTTTCATTCTCATGGGAGTCCATTTGAAATGCACTGGCTGAAGAATTACATTATGGCAATGGCATTATGCTTATTAACGTCAAGATGCTTTAGGAGTGGACACTGAGTTGGTCCACAACATTTATCATAACCTTACATATTCAAAGCCTAAAAACATGACCACAGGTATTAGTTTCATCAGCTCTTATGGCGACATAGCTGTCCATAGTTAGCCATCCACCCAGAAACAGACATCCATCAGAAAGCCCGTCCCTCCCTCTTGTTAAAAATGCCGAGTAGCTGTGAGGGCATCAAATCCCATTTGCTCTTAAGCTAAGTGTGCTGATTTTTATCCTCTCCCTGGAGCTTGGTAAGATTGTTATTTACCTCATCACCTTGACACGGTCCTGTGTGAGGTCCTTTCACGCAGAGATTTTTGCATATTGTCAAACAACTGCTGAACCGTGTGAGCCAAAGGTCTGAGATAACTGACAGGATTCGCTCACTCGTGATTAAAACACATTAAAGAATAATGAGTCCGGCCCACACAATAAACAATCCTGAGAAACAAAACACGCATTTACAGTCTTGGAAGCACGAAAAGACAATAAACTAGTATAAAAGCTTACATTTTTGACATTCATTGCTAATAAAATAATCGCTAAAATCTATCATTCTGACCACAGCAAGGGAAAGTTGTTATTTCCTTAATTAGGGTATTATCTCCTGAACGGGAGGAATTAGGACAATGTATTTGCAGTGAATGACTCAAGAATCTTTTTTTTTTTTTATACGAGCGATAACTGAATGCTATTAATGCCATTGTAATGGCGTACTGGAAGTGTAAAACTGAAAATATGAACAAACCCAATATGAGTAGGACCAGTAATGAAAGGCACAAATTATGCCTGAAATATGCAGTTGCAAAAATGCCTCAAAGATGGCTGAGATTTTGATGAATGCCTCCAGAGGAAGGAGCGGGGTTCAAGGCTTAAGAGGACAAAGCTCAAGCAGATGAATGCTTTTATTGTGCTCATAACCACTTGCAAGAAAGAGAAACTGAACTGTGGTGATTTAAGAGGAAATAAACGAGTGAAATATAAAAGACACTCACGGACACACAAGTCTCCGCTCTCGAAGTAGCCAGGGCAGCATTGAGAACGTCGACGGTACATGGTTCTCACCCCGCGTCGATAAGCTGTCTTGTAGCTGGTCCTGAGATGGAAACACGTACACATACACATAAGCGAAAGCATGAACATCAATAGCCTGGCAGGTGAACTCCACAAGGGCAGAGACACAAGGACATTATGGTATGCACCAGGCTACCATTAGCTTTTCTGTTTGTGTCTAATCCAAGCTACACCCTAGAGGTGGAAAGGGGAGAAATAAACATAATTAAAGTGAGTTAAGGAAAAGTTTCCGTGTTCGGTGAAGGACATCTCGCCTCTGAATGCAACATTGCAGCACAGTGACTCATTGAGCCCACAGCTTTTAGCCGGGACACTAACGATAAAGTCTTTAATGCAGCAATTAAAACCAATGTAATGTCGGATGACAGTCAAATGGCCATTTCCATCCCGACTCTGACCACTACAATCATGGCTGGTAACATTAACACTTGGTAATAAAGACACTGGCACACTGACACCTTGATTTTTATGTGTCTAGTGGGAGAGTGCTGCTTGTTGCCATGAAGTGGAATTGTGACAACTGTAGTTCAAAGGTCAGGGTCATGCTCACCTGTGTCTGGTGCATTTAAACCAATTGAGGATGTCGGTGCACCTGGTGTAGTAGATCTGGTCAAAAGGATGAGCGTAGGACTCCTGAACAGTCACTGCGTAGCTGAGAGAGGGAAAGACCAAGGAGAAATTTGAATCTCTTAGTGATATAATATATATAATTAAAGTCATCCTGTGGACCCCTTGGGATTTTGCTGGGGCTACCCAGAAGCCTCAACTCCCTGGTTAAGAACCAACTGGGTCAATATATGGCTTGATACTAGAGCTGCACGATTCTGGATAAACTGAGAATCACGATTTTTTTTTGTCTCAAATAGAGATCATGATTCTCCCACAATTCTGAACTAAACAAAATAATGTGTGACAAAATATTATTGCTGCAGTCTATTTAAAAGTTTTTAATTATTTTGAATGAATTATTAAACATTTTAACATACACTGCCAGTCAAAAGTTTTTGAACACTAAGATTTTTAAAGTTTTTTAAAGAATTCTCTTCTGCTCAGCAATGCCTCCTGCATTTATCTGATCCAAAATACAGCAAAAGTAGTAATATTGTGAACTATTTTTGCAATTTAAAATAACTGCTTTCTATTTGAATATATTTCAAAATGTAATTTAATCCTGTGACCAAAGCTGAATTTTCAGCATCATTACTCCAGTCACATGATTCTTCAGAAATCATTCTGATATGCTGATTGCTGTTCAAGAAACATTTTTTATCATTATTTTTATCAATATTTAAAACACTTGAGTAAATTTTTTCAGGATTCTTTGATGAATAGAAAGATCAGTATTTATCTGAAATAAGTTTTTGTAACATTATACACTATGATTATACCATTCAAAAGCTTGGAGTCAGTATTTTTTTTTGGGGGGGGGGGGGGTATATAAATTAATACTTTTATTTAGCAAGGATCCTTTAAATTGATCAAAAGTACGATTATGACATATTTCAGATAAATGCTGTCCTTCTGAACTTTCTATCAAAGAAACCTGAAAAAATCTACTCAACTGTTTTCAACATAATAATAATAATAATAAATGTTTTTTTGAACAGCAAATCAAAATATTAGAATGATTTCTGAAGGATCATGTGACACTGAAGACTGGAGTAATGATGCAAAAAATTTAGCTTTGAAATCACAGGAATAAATTAAATTTTAAAATATATTCAAATAGAAAGCAGTTATTTAAAATTGTAAAAATATTTCAAAATTTTACTGTTTTTGCTGTACTTTGGATTAAATAAATGCAGGCTTGGTGAGCAGAAGAGACTTCTTAAAAAAACATTAAAAATCTTACGGTTCAAAAACTTTGGACTGGTAGTGTATATATAACATGTTTAATACACCAATTTTTAATATTAAAATTATGAAAAAGTTGTTTGAATCAATGATTCAACGACTCACTCATAAACCTACTTCACTTGTTTCATTACTGGATGAATCAGCGTTTTTGAATGATTCTCTTGAATGAATAATTAATTCAGTGACAAATACATTTTTAAGTCACTTTTAGTGAAACAATGCAATCGACACAAATGTTATTTGAAGCGTAGTTACTTTCAAAAGGGGATTTGCTTTTTTTTGATCGCTGCCATAGACGTCAATGTTTATATCTGAACTATAAACTTTCACACCAGTATTTCTGTGATAATATGAATGACTGTAAGACAAAAATAATACTGTGTAGTTGAAAAGGCAGTTTGTGAAGATGTTTCTTAACCAAACATGGTAAGTAACTGCTCTCTCTGTGTCCGCGGCAGTGCAAACACAGATTTGAATGATCCGGTAAGGCTTTGTCAAAGGTTTAATAGACTCGGGGAATCGTTGTCATTTAGAAATGAGATCGTGTAGGTGTCTGAATCGAGATCACAATCTTTTAACGATTAATCGTGCAGCTCTACTCGATACCTTACACATTTCTGCTGTAAAGTACATTAAATGCATACAGTACATACTTGTTTTATTTTTTATTTATTCATTTTGAAAAAAAAAACGTATAATTGCCTGTTTAATGGCAGTTTTCCATTGTGACAACGTAGCCCATACAGCATAGCAACATTCCCTGCTATTGGTCAAAACGTGTTAAAGGAACTGTATATTTGGTCCTGAGCATTAAGGGTGCAAAGTTTGAGCTTTTTTGTAGTCAGGACATTTACGTATTTGCATATACAGCAATAAACCTACCCCAAGAAATAGTCACTGGAGTAAAAAGTGACAACTTGCCATGTGGGACCCCTACCTGAAATTGCCCAAACATGATTATGTTGTAGAGAAGCAAACAATTTGCTGGTACCGCTGGTAATTAACTGTACCGTGAAGGTACTTTATCCCAAAAAACAAAACCATAACATACTCAAATGTAATATTCAGACAAGTATCCATCTATTTAGCTTGAAGTTCAAAACAACTTGTTATCTCTAATAATAACAAGACTCCCTTCCAGAGCTACAGCAAATCTAGAAAAACAAGATTTAACTTCCTTGAAAAAACATTACAAAACTGTTGCCAACAAAATGACATTAAAGCTCCGATGTATTCTCTTTCAGGGAAGCAATGCTAAAACTCATTCATCTCCGCAGTCCTCTGTCCTCCTCTCTGCAGGGGCAATTGCTCCTGCTTATTTGTCATAACTGATAACACCATTTACAAACAATAATTTTTCAGGCAATACGTTCAGTCAAAACAGATTGTTCTGGTCAACTGGATGCTGTTCTGCCTGCTTTATTTTAGCAACTTATCCTCACTCTCGCTCCCTCCCTCACACACACAAGGATAATAATAAGAACATCAATATTGTTTTGTGTGTTTAGTGACTGAACCTAATACCTGCAGGCAAGTGTAACCAGATCAACACTCCCAAACACAATCCTTTACATCGCTTTAGCTGTGCCATTAAAAGTGAATACAGTCAATACAGGAACAAACAAATGTAAATCCCCTAAATCTCTAAGATAACAGAATAGAACTGAAATACACATTGTGTGTGCTTTTCGACTAATCCAAACAGCTTGTAACCACTTACATCCCACCTTATACAGAACAAACGTTTAGCCCAGTTGTTCAAAATATTGTTGATTTTTTTAGTAATAAAATATTTTTTCAGCAAGTAGCAGTTAGCTTGACAAACACATTAAGTTGTATTTAACATCACATTCAAATGTTTGTATTGGCAATATATAGACGGGCACTTAAGAGAATACATACATACAGCTTTATATCAAATCAAACAGACTCCTAAACAGTCCTCTCTGTCAGACGTAGCATTGGAAAGTCCAATGCATTCTAGTGAATCAGTTTGTTTGGACTGTTCGAATACATGAACTGCTTTAAAACAATACACCAATTCGAGCCCCACCAAATATTAAATTAAATGCTCATTGCTATGTATTTAACTCAGTTACATAAATTACGGTGTATTCTAGTGTATTTATTGTTGTAAATGTATCTCTTCAAGTTGGATGCATCCTAACTGAGATTGTCTTATTTTATAGTTTAATTTATACTACTTTTTCAAAATAATAGCTTGGCTGCAGTTGAACGATTTTATATTATGAGTAGCCTGTAAGCAGCACCACAACATTGTTTTTAAAGTTTTAAAATTTAATAATAATATTATAATTAAATTGTATTATTAATTTTTTTTTTGTAATATCAATACTAATGACACTTACTATCATTAGTAGAAGTTGTGATATTGTTAATTATTTGGAATATTATTATTATTTCTGATTAAGAATATTCTCATTAAGTATTCATACAATGTACAATTCACGTATGATAAATAAATGAATAAATTAATTGATTAATTTCAGACACTTATCATGTTTACAGTGAACACTGCCACAACCCATTATAACTCAAACAATCACAGACATAAATCAGATCGCTGTTAAATTACAATCCTCTTTTGTAATTTACATCCTTCTGGCATGTCGGAGAGGAATAACTACACTGTGTGAATCCTGCAATGGATAAACGGAAGGTAAAATGGAGTTTAACACGAGAGTGCCCCTCTCTCACCTCTCCCAGTGACTGCAGACATTGGGGTCATCTGGGTTGAGGCTCCATGCGCTGATAATGAGGCCCAGAACAGCCAGCACAGGCAGGGCTAATGGGTAGGCCCGTACCGGCCCCATGGCTCCTCCTGAGAGAATGAGAGTGAGAAAGAGAGAGAGTGCGAGAGAAAGAGACAAGGACACTTTTTGTCCTTTATCATTCTTCTAAATTGGAGCCCTTGGAACATTCTTGGAAGTGCAGTGAAAAGAGATGACTTTTTAAGAATAATATCAAGAAATGTTACAGAAATTCGATATGTGTGTCTTTATCATCAACTGACCAAAATGGGTGAATACCCAAAGTGTAATGGCAGATGGCTGATATAATGGTGTGAAATATGTGTGATACAGACTAATACAATTTAATTAAATCAAACGAGATGTACGCAAACACTTTTTTTGCACAATAAGGATTAGTTCACCCAAAAATGAAAATTCTGTCATTAATTACTCACCCTCATGTCGTTCTAAACCTGTAAGACCTCCGTTCATCTTCGGAACACAAACTTAGATATTTTTGATGAATTCTGAGAGCTCTCTGACCCTCCCATAGACAGCAATGTAATTACCACAATCAAGGTAGAGGCCTGCACTCCCGCGGGACCCAACGCAACAGGGTGTGGTGCGGGACAACTCTTGATGGGCGAGTGCAGGTGCGGACGGGAAGAGACTCGTGTGTGTGCAGGATGCGGGAGAATAAAATGATTCGCGGGACTCCCGCAAAATAGAAATTATCTAAACATAAAATGTAGGGATGATTCACATGCAAATGACTTGTTGCACTTATGAATATATATATATATATATATATATCAGACATATTAAGAGCTGAATTACCATTGCTTTATATTCTGAAATGTAAAATAAATATTTAAATTAATATAAAACATCAATTTGTAAATGCACCTGTGTGCAGGCATTTTTAGTATTTTATACATAAGATAAGATACAGTAAGAACATGAACAAAGAAACAAAGTAAAACAAACTGACAAATTCAATAAAACAAATATACAAATTAAATTAAATAAACAGTGTTGTCATTTTTCCAAGAAGTTCTACTAACATTACTGTTTAGGTAAGTAATAGCCTACAAAAGAAATCTAAAAGTAATCAAATGTAAATGAACACTGCATAGTTTTCAGTGTATGTAATGCTTATTAAAGCTATAACTTTATTCAGATTCAGAGCAGATTTGCATTTTGATGGCCCAAGCGCCAGTCTGTCACTTTAAGACAATATATTGACACACATCGGATTTTCTCCCAACTGTTCTCCTCCACTTGACATAAACTGTGTAAACAATGAAAAATTCACTATTTGTCGTGTATGTTTTGCATGATGATATGATGAATGGATGGTTAATTTTTAACAGCAGATTCAGTGACGTTAGAGCTGATCTGCGCCTCACTGAATGCATCTTCGGTGCGTTACGGCTCCACGGGATCGCGGCCGCTCTATGCTTGTGTTTATATCAGCCAGCCGCGGCATGTTTCAGAAGTGGCTCTCCACGCTGCTTGGCTAAAAATAGTCTTTTATGAGTTGTCACAGTGTGGAGGATTGAACAAAACCTCTTCAGAGCCGTAAGGGATAACGGTAACATAACATGCTCATCGTGGGCTGCTTTTAAATTAAAATTTATTTACAACACAAAATATCTTCTTTGGCCATATTAGCCTACTCAATAGCATTAACACAGGCTTCACTCCTTTCAAACTTTATCTGGAATGTCACCGTTTCTGTCACTGCAAATTCCCGATCAGGCGAACGAACACACACACACACGAAATCGTCTGCCTCATGAAAAAAATTTATTTAAAAAATTTTTTTGTTAATATTTGCATAATTTATGATTTATTTTATCCACCCGCGACCCACCCGCAAATAATCAGAATGCATTTTTATTACCCGACCCACGGATTATCTGCAGCGCCCGTGGATATAGGAAAAGCAAAATATGAAAATATGTTTGCTGCGTAAATCAGACGGACTTACTGAAAAAGCAAATTCTCTGCCAGCAGGAGGTGCTTTAAAGCGGGAGAGACAGAGGGTTCCCCAGTAAATGGCTGTACACAAAGCAGCACTGAGCTCACAAACGCTGCTTTATCATGCATATAACATGCAAGATTAAATGACATCGAAAATTTTCGAAAGATAGTCTTCCTTCAGAAATACAGTGATATAAAAACACCCGCGCCTCGTTTTGATTTTTAAACGTGCAGCACTTGCTCATGTTTATTCAACGAAGCCTTTTGGAAAATCAGTCCGTTTTGATATTGTGGCGAGCGCCACAAATAAATAAATGTATGGGAGACACACCCGCACAACCACCTGAGCCCAACTTCAGTCTACTCATCACCTTAACTTTAACTGCGTTTGTAGCCGGTGTTCTGACAAATAATGCTACCTATCAGATTATGCTACAAACACTGTATTTATCCTACTGTAAGGGTAGGTTTAGGGTTGGGGTAGGTGTACATGTTAATAAAGCCTCACACCTTATTAATATCATGCTGGAAGCAAAATCTGATAGGTAGCCATCGAATTATGCTACCATCTGTTTTAATGGGATGTAGCAAAATCTGACAGGGTAGCACAAATCGTCAGAACACCGGTGCCATAGCCAGACTGATAAACAAACACAGACCGGAAATTAACTTCAGGCTAGGCGTGTGCGCCAGATGAAACCGTCTATATAAAGCTTGAAGCATCAGAATCGGCATCAGTATCGGCCGATCACCATGACAAGAAATCGGTACTCAGTATTGGCTGCAAAAATCCTGATCGGAGCATCCCTATAGATTACTTTTATGCGGGCTTTTGCGGGCGGGAGCGGGACAAAATATGAATGTTGCGGGCGGGCCCAGATAAGATATTTTTCTGCGGGAGCGGGTGGGCGTGGGACAAAATCTTGTGGGAGTGGGACTGAAAAATCCGTCCCACGCAGGTCTCTAGATCAAGGTCCAGAAATGTAGCAAGGAGATCGGTAAAATAATCCATGTGACATCAGGGGTTCAACCATAATTTTACGAAGCTACGAGAATACTTTTTGTATGCAAAGAAAACAAAAATGATTACTTTATTCAACAATTCGTCTCCTCCGCATCACCCTGGTGCCATTTTGGAGAGTATCCAAATCTCCTTGCTACATTTCTGGACCTTGATTGTGGTAATTACATTGCTGTCTATGGGAGGGTCAGAGAGTTCTCAAACATATCTTAATTTGTGTTCCAAAGATGAACGGCGGTCTTACAGATTTAGATTGACATGAGGGTGAGTAATTAATGACAGAATTTTCATTTTTGGGTGAACTAACCCTTTAATAATCTCAAAATGTCCAAATATTGTGTGATTCATTCATCTGGTCGATACACCAGTCTTTATGCACATTATACTCACACATACTTGTGTTACTGTGTATGTTCTGTAACACTTAGCACAGGATATTAGTCCCATGACAATGATGAAGGACTCTTTAAGACCACACAGGGTGAACCGTTTGTTTAAACTGTCAAGATATTTCATTAGACACATGATGGGAGATGAGGATGTGTGTGATGAATTGACATGACAGAGACAGATGTAGAAGGGTACGTGAATGACACACTGCTCAAGCATGGGCCAGTGAAGCATGAAAGCACTGATTATGTTAAACGGCAGGGGGTATCGCAGAAGGACGCCAGAACAACAGTTTGCTTGATTCTAGGCAACTCTTATGTATCTGATCAGAAAAGAAGCACTATTGCAACCACTAACATCCTGGTAAGTGAGTGTGTTTGTGACATTTTTATGATTTTGAACTTTGTTTGGACTCTATACCTAATCTGTTAACCTTGTTAATGATTTGCATGACGTGTCTAATAAAATTGGCTTCACTCACTTGCCAATCTGAGACCATTGAAAGGTCTTCACAGGTCATTCTCGCGTGAGAGAAAATTAATATTGATTTAACTTCCACACTATATAATAGTTCATTCAAAGGCAGAGACTGAAGTCATGCTCATTTCTGTAAAAAGGTTAATTTACAGTCACCCTTTGAAGGCTTCGTATCATTCCTTACAGCTGTAAGATATCTCTATTAGAGTAAAGCTGTTATGATGTTCTGCTCAGATGTACAAACAGCTGTTCCCAATGACAGCTTGGAAGTTAAAATTATGCACTCTGGTTTCATTTGCATTCCTAGGTAGGTGGATATTTTTGCATGCTTGTATAGACTTTGAAATGTACAATAACGTAAAAGATGTAAAATCTTTACGAATCTTCTGATGATTGGTCAGAATCGTAATTGATAGAACCTTTACAAGAGTACCGCAGAACTGATTTCAACACTGAGACACAACCTATAGCAGGAAACTTTAGGAACTTTGTCTAAGACCTCTATTAGCAATTTATTCATAAATAAAATACAAAAACACTGTTAGTGTTACAGTCATTTACTCACCTCTGTTACAATGGTTCAGGAAAGTATAAAAAACGTCTGTATATACATGAATTAAATTAATCAAAAGTCACAGTAAAGACAATTATAATGTAGTAATATTAGAATTCTGATCTTTTGAAATTTCTGTTCATCTATGAATCTTGAAAAAAAAAACTGTATTATGGCTTCCATAAAAATACTAAGCAGTTTTCAACTGTGATAATAACAAGACATGTTTTTGAACACCAAATTAGCATATTAGAATGATTTTTGAAGGACTGTGTGACACTGAAGTCTGGAATAATGGCTGCTTAAATTTTGCATTCTACATTGCCATTACAAGAATTTATTACATTTTAAAATATATTAAAACAGAAAGCACTTTCTTTTAATTGTAATAATATGTCACAATATTACAGTTGTTTTTACTGTAGTTTTGATAAATGCAGCATCTGCGAGCATAAGAGACTTGCATAAAATATCTTACCGACCTCAAACTTTTGAGCAGTAGTATATGTTGAAACTAAATTTAAAAGTTAGATGAGGTAGAAACAACTCTTTAAAGTAGGAGCAAAAACCAATTGCAGGTTACTACTTTTACAGCGAGTAGCTGTGATTTGTCCTGCTAACCTTTTAACGCCAATTTTAAAGCATGACATTTATTGACAACACTGTGTTGACAACATAAGTGACATCCAAATTATAGAAGTAAATGTAGAATGTCTGCTATAAACATACATAGATGGCAAAAGCAATAAAGTTTTAAGGCATGATCAGACCACTTCTTCTGTAATTAATTCCATGTATTATGAATCACTGATTTGCACCGCAAGATAACTTAGCCTTTAATCAAAATGCATCTGCGGCTCTGTTATCCCCATAGACTTGCGGTGGTTCTCGAGCATGAAAAAGATTATACATTTGCCATGGCTTTAAGTAGGAGTACCATAATGAGGCATCTGACATCAAATTATTCTGTGCTTCCTCTTGAAGTGCAGGTGACTCTAATGAACACTGATTTCTAAGAATTAAAGCTGCGTGGCTCCGACTGATATAATGGTGATTGCGAACGAGGAGAGACAGGAGCAAAGGCGATGGATCCTGGTAGGACTCACCTCAGACCAAGGCCTGCAATCCCTGGAGATGTCTGCTGTGGAAGATCACTGCTTGCCTGAACCAGACAACCAGACACAGAAGAGCAGGAGACCAGACAGACCGATAATCAGACTCAAAGCAAAGAGAGGGCACCTGGGTATTGAGAAAGAGAGAGAAGAAACAGTTGTTCAGCTTTAGAACAAGAAAAGAGAATAAAAGATTGGGGAAAAGGGACACTCAGGAAAGGGACTCAAGCATTAGGAGATCCCCAATGCAACAGCTGCTAAATCCCCGATTTTAAATCTAAACCGCACCTTCAGTTTGGAGGGGATGAAATATTGGGCTTATTCACCTCCTGCTAACACACAAGGGTGAGAGCTTACATTACCTTAAGAGCATGGAGTGTCAAAGCCTCTCATCGCCCCACAAGAGCATTCTCAACAATAGCAAAGGAGAGCAAGCTATCCATGGCCATTAACGACACAATGACAAGTACCGCTGTGCCAACAGCTCGGGTCTAACTAGGGGCCTCGTATTCCTCAGCCTCATTACGCGGATCTTCATTATGCCTGCGTTAGGCCGTGGGTCATCTCTGTCGGGTTCAGGAAAAAATGAGAAAAACAACACTGCGGGTGCAAACAAAAGATTCCGTTTCCTCGCTGTGATCGAGATTCATTATTTATGCTCCTTCTCCTTCAGACTCAGAAGAGGCCAGGGCAGAAAGCCGCAGGCGAGGACACGGAGTGGAACAAGAGCAGGAAGAAGAGCTGGAAGCACACTGGAGGGGACAGGCTGTCTGGATGTGACTTCTTCTACCAATGTTCTGTCTACATGTTGAAAAGTTCCGCGGTCAGCCTCTATAGCTACTGGGTCTTGTTTGTCTGTCTAAGTAGTCCGTGGAGCATCACTGAGACACAGGATACTAAGATGTGATGGAGGTGCAGTAATCCACGACTCTGTATCGCTGCTCGTGTTCTGTTGGATTTACATAAGATGTGTTTTTTAGAATCCCAAGGGGAAATTCTATGAACAAATGATGCTCTGAATTCTTCTGTCTATTAGTGGCAACAAGCCTAAGTGTGCAAAATGGGATTGCATATATTACCCCAGTGAGGCCCTCAGGGTGGAATGTATAGGCACATCACTGGACTCATTACAGAACATAATGAAGTGTGTAATTGAAAGCTAACTGAATGAAAGGTGAGTTAGATTGAACTGAAAGTGGAATTTCCATTTGAAAGAAGCTAACTCTGTAAATAATAAAACTGAACACTGTAGAACTGAACACTGTAGTATGACTGTATCTTGCTATCACAAAGCCACTCACATAGATTTACATTTTCAGCATCACAGTGTTGAATAAGTGTAATGGCTGGATTCGATTTTTAAATGACCCAAAATGGTAGTGTAGGTTATCAGCCAATATTATATACAGTTTTTAATTTATCGTATCAGCCAACATTCGATTTTGATGTTCTGGTGCCTTGTAGTTTTTAGTATTTAATTTTTATTTAGACAAAACTGTATCAAATTTTAATACCAGCCATTTATCATAATCAGCCATAACATGAAAACAATTAATCGGCTGAACGGTACTGAAATGTTCATATGTAAATCTCTACTATTAGTGAGGTAGTATTTGTTTAAAACATTACATCACACTTCAAGATTAATCTTTGAATAAAACCTCTCAGACAAACAGCTTAGTGTTATTGAAATGACAAAATGCATTAGGCTCTGTTCTGCTGCCATGTATTTCAATGGTCGTAGTATTACATGACAACCATGAGACTAATGGGTAACTAAAAGTATTTCACCCAAGACCGTGATACTGAAATATGAAGCCATTCCATTTTACTTCTCATTAATGAGTCTGTGCACATAGAACAATAACCTAAAACTCAGATCAATATGGTGGGCCTCAATGTGTATTTGTTGTCTGCCTGGCATTCACAATAAGAACAACATGTTTCATTGTCTCCATTTCACACACTAAAGATCCTCTTCATAAAACTAAAACTCCCTTTTGGCTTCATTTATCCTGCTGCACTTATTTTTTAGCTTTGGGATACAACAATGCAGTAGTCTTCATAGACATTGTGGTGTGTAAATAATGAAAAGTGCCAGGTGATACTGCTCTGTGTCCAGACTCTTGAGAGAAAAAGGATCCTTTAAAATACTCAAACCAACTCTGTATTCCCACATTGTCAACCAAAGAAGACATTGACATGATTCAGGACATGCACGTATTAGAGCTCAATGCAATTAACCAACCAATTCCCTGATCCCCCTGCATCGGAGCCCCTCTGTGAGTGATGTTATGGGTCTGCTGGCAGCTCTCTCAACAATACAGTAAAATCAACCCATCCACTCAGACAGGAGTCATGACCACATCTTAAGTTTATGTCAGCATGTCACCATGCTATGGTTATATATTTCTGTCCTCATTTAAGAGAAGCTACTGACCATTTACATATAATCATTTAGAGACTGAAAGGGTTGCTGACGTTGGAGTGAAGACGCAGATTAGAACCGCTGACATGATACTTTCCGTGAGAATTTCAGTAATGACTGATTTCATTTACAGCACAATGTTCTACTGTACTATACACATTTCCACACATCACATGATTTCTGTCTTCATACACAAAACTAGATTAGTTTTGTTAACACTAAATGCACCAGTTACAGCGATGTTTAAACTGCAAGCCTGATTCTCAATTCTCAAGTTTTTAAACGTGGCCAGTATCAGATTTGTTTGTGAACCGGTCACAGTCTTCAATTGGCCCGCATTTGCAAAACAACAATAACAAAGATGGCACACAACACACTGTCAAAAAGAAGTAAACATAGAAGCCACTGAAGCCAGTGCTTACGCGTTCATTTATAAGGTCTTGTGCCGTGGAAGCCAGTCAATCTGTGCGCAGACGATAATTAGGACAAAGAGGTTTTTTTCTCAGGTTTTGTTTGTGGTCACCATAATACTTGAGTTGTAACACCTCTCTGTCCCTCCACAGAGTACCTTCACAGCTGTCTTCCATATTGACCAAGTGACCAAAGAACTACCAAAGTGTAAAATCTTTGAATTGACTCCCATCAGCAAAGAATTGTGATGAATGTCAATCCAAAGTGAGATAAAAGTCTCATGAATTCCGATATGACTGTTCAGACTGAGGTCGCATTAGACCTGTATCTGAATTAGGACCACATATGGAAGTAGAAAAGATTGAATTGAAAAGATCAGATTCCATGTGGTTTGTGTTGGATTTTTTTTTTTAAAGAAACAGATCTGAGTGATCTCTTATGCTCACCTAAAATAATATTCAGTATCACATGATCAGAAAGAATTCTAATATGCCGATTTGATGCTCAAGATTATTATTATCAGTGTAGAAAACAATTGTGCTGCTTAATATTTTGTGGAAATCGTCATTTATTTTTTTCAGGATCCTCAAAAATAGAAATGCTATTGATAAAAACAGCATTTATTTGAAATAGAAATCTTCTGCAACATTAATTTATTTATGGTCATATTTTATCATTTTAATTCTTCTTTACTGAATAGAAGTATTAATTTATTAAAAAATAAACAAAATCTTACTGAACTTCAATCTTTTGAACAATACGACTTATACTTTGTTTTTATATCACTGATTTGTTTACATTTTGTAAATCCAAATTCATCTAAATTCAGACTGATTACAGATTTTAAATGTACTGTTTATATCTACCTGCAGACCCACTGAAAATGTTTACATACATTTGCATCATACATATTCTGCACAATTTTCTGCACATATGAAGTGCAATATTTAGTGTCAATGTTACCATAGCACTGTAAAGCTTGTGAGACCTGTCAGTGTTCCTGTCACGAGAAAGCAACAGCGTGTTGACCCTGAGTGGTCAGCTAAATATCTACAGTGGATCTAAAATATGAATAGTTAATTATAACTAGTTATGGTTAATTATTCATATTTTCCATGAGCTGATTCGCTACAGCTTATTAAAGAATTTGGCAACTCAGTATGGCACCCTAGTGTATAATTGGCTGGTTTGCCTTAAATTATGCCAAGAAAGCTTTCTCCTCATTTTTCTTACTTTACTTAAAAAATGTGGGATTTAGAAGCAGCTTCTTGAAATTCTATCTTGCTTAAACTAAACCGCAATAATCTGAAAAAAGGTCATTTTTTTAATCTAGTTGTTGAAACCAGTCAGAATCAAAGTTTTGCATGCTAATTAATAATTAAAGGATTATTTAAGAAGCAAATAGAAAACATGATAACTGAGGTGCTTTTATGCTTTTCATTCCAACTCAGCCCTGCATGTAAACATATCTACTGAAGAACAGTGTGGATTCACAATAAGATGAGCAAATAATCATATTGCCGTAACTGGTGGTAACTCATGCAAAAATAATAAAGTACTCTGATTATGACTGTTTTCAACCAAAAGGTCACAGACATTCTCCCATGAACCATGTGATTGACCTGAAGGATCTAACTGTTAAGATAGCCTTGTCTTGTCTCATTTAGTAGCTTGGACCATTAAGAGTGCCATGGTCTGTTAAATTGCAGCAGCCAAGTAATTCCTTCTTCTATCTGAATGATCAGTGCGATTGTTTGGACCTAAGTGCTCATGCTTCCTTTACCTCTAAGCAATGGCTATCTGCACACATTAGTTCAACAGGTACTAATCTGGCAAATGCTTTTATACAAAAAACCCCCCCAAACAATATTTTACAAAGGGCAAACAAACAGAATCAACAGATAAGCCAATCTCTCGATCAGCAGCACTCTGTCCTGAATGAAGTAAGTGTGGATAAGAAAGCGTGGAACTGAAAAACACAGCGGGGAAATTTAGTGAATGCTCTAGGTCACTTAATTCTGGGGACATGGATTATTCATGGTGCAACCACTGATCATCATGACCCTCATAAATCAAAAAATGTGGCATCTCACACCACCACTGAGCCCGGTTACAGCCTGCTAATCTCAACGCCATCCTTCATAACTATAACCTTTTCTTATCTGCAGTCTGCACCCCAAAACAGACTTTCAGACTTTCACACTGATCTTACCTGTTTATGCAAAGAACAATGCAAACTTTATCTCTCCTGTCATGCTGTGTGCTCTACTCCTGCATAGGCTAGCAAA